ATAGTACCTGGCCAAAATATAATTGGACATTCGAATGTCGTACGGAAATGATACGGTAAAATATTTTATTCATTGATCTCCAACCGAACAATGATAGATCACATGAGCGTATATTTTTCTCTATCTAGACTCTCAATGAATATTTCAGTAGGTCTTGCAGCGAATTCGCGGTCAACGCGTCCGAGCAAGTTGTGAATCTGTGAAAAAGAATAGCACTACGCCGCGAAGATATAGGGTAAATGAAAGATCTAATTATGATTCGGCATCCGTCTTACAGTTTTGAGAGTTTATTTGATATCTCGTGCAAAATTTACAAACATGTCTATACTGTCGTTCAGCCATACGCATTTACACATACCTCTGTATAAGATATTCGAAATGTATGTGTGTGATGCATTAATATTTGCATTCACGTTACGTTTGCAGTATTATAATTAGTTGTCTATCTTATCCATCGTTCGATAAAGATATTTGTGAGTCTTCAAATCCATCGAACGAGTCTGTCAATTTTAGAAAATAGTGAATACTTTATTTACTACACGTGGACGTGACTGTCTGAATCGCGGGTAAACTTTTTAAACTGAACGTAACGAAACAGTGGGAACTGTGGCGCAAAAATTGACGAAAGTCGTATCAATGGAATAACTAAATTAGCAATAACGGCGTGAAAAAAGAATGAATAAGTATTCGGGAACAGCAAGAGACGTGTACTTGCGACAGAATAGCCGCCGATTGAAGAAGCGATCATTCGTCGCCGACAACTTTTTGTTCTCGGCATATTCGCTCTCTCACCGCCATGTAACGTGAACGAGAATAAGTATTTTTTTGAATATTTTTCTTCTCGAAGAGGAAGAAAAAAAAATGTCTAAACATTATTAATTTTGCATCTTCAACAAGCATCGAATACAGCGAGTAGCACGTCGGCCGACATGTCAGATGCAAACTTAGTCGCTGCTTTTGGAGGTTGACAAATTTTATGCGGTTAGTCTATCGCGATAATTCCAATTGCTACGGATTAATCAAACATCATTCTTTATCTTGACAAAGCGCTACGCGAGCTTGCATTATGCGTGCGGGAATTATGGATAGAAAATATGAAGAATTTGGAATCTGGCTAGACATAGCCTGGCAGAGTCGTATATATTTCAAGCCATTCCTTGCATTAAACTCAATTCTTGCGTTGGCACCGGAAAGATTGAAGATTAAACTATGCGCTGAATGTAGTTTTTTCAACTCTACGTGAAATTAAAAGCCAGAAATATTCCTAAAATTGGTGAGCGTCGTACCGCGATCGAGAATTTACAGAGTCGCTGCCGCGTGAAAGGACGGAGGGTCTCTCTCCATGGTCCGCGCTCCGGCATAACTACGATTTCGGGCAAAGTGGTGCTATTACTGTTTACGAATCTCGTAAGTGAAATTCAGCTAGCACGAAGAAAACGACAGACTTGTGAAAATGGGTGAGCAAATCGAATCTGCTGCGAACGCTGCTGTTGCTTCGGCAACCAGCAAATCTGCCAGTCAGGCCAGTTCCGGAAAAGACAAGCAGGCAGCTTCGAAATCGAAAAGAACTACTGCGAAGCCGACGCATCCACGAACTGCGGAAATGGTCATCGCAGCCATAACCAACCTAAAAGAACGTGGTGGCTCGTCGGTTCAGGCGATTAAGAAATACATTGCGACGACGTACAAGCTCGACACGGAGAAGCACGCGCTATTCATCAAGAAATACTTGAAAGCTGCTGTTGGCTCCGGTGCTCTCATTCAAACCAAAGGAAAGGGCGCGTCCGGTTCTTTCAAGCTCCCGTCGGCCAAGTTGGAGAATAAGAAAACTGAAACCAAACGGCCTCCTAAGAAGGCTCCAGCTACGAAAAAGACGGCGGTTGCAAAGAAGCCTGCTGCAGCGCGAAAGCCTGCCTCCCCGAAAAAAGCAGAGGCGGTGAAAAAAGCAGCTCCAGCCTCGAAGAAGGCAGTTGCCGAAAAGAAAGCTGTCCCTAAGAAAGCAGTAGCCGTCAGCAACGTTCCCAAGAAAGAAAAAGTAACGAAACCGAAGGACGTCAAATCTGTAAAAGCAAAGTCTTCGCCAAAAGCGAAAAAATCTGACAAAGCACCA